CCAGTGCTGTTGACCTACAGGGTGCTGACAGAAATTGGACTACTGTTGGTCAAAGAAGGGGAGGAGGTAGAACGATCCATAGACAGAGAGAGAAGTGGAAAGGCAGGAGTATAGGTCTGAGAATAGGGACTCTTAACGTTGACACAATGATAGGGAAAGGTAGAGAGCTGGCGGACATGATGGAGATGAAGAGAAGGAAGGTAGATACACAGTATACTGTGTGTGCAGGAGACCAGGTGGAAGGGTAGCAAAGCGTTGGAGGGGGGATACAAACTGTTTTATTATGGTGTGGACAGGAAGAGAAATGGGGTAGGGGTGATCCTGAAGGAGGAGCTTGTAAGGAATGTTTTAGAGGTGAAAAGAGTGTCAGACAGGGTGATCAGTTTGAAGCTGGAAATTGAAGGGGTAATGTTGAATGTAGTCAGTGGTTATGCTCCACAGGTAGGGTGTGGGTTGGAAGAGAAGGAGAGATTCTGGAGTGAGTTAGATGAGGTGATGGAGAGTATTCCCAGAGGGGAGAGAGTGGTGATTGGGGCAGACTTCAACGGGCACATTGGTGAAGGGAACAAAGGTGATGAGGAAGTGATGGGCAGGTTTGGTGTTAAAGGAAGGAACCTAGAAGGACAGATGGTGGTGGACTTTGCTAAGAGGATGGAAATGGCTGTAGTTAACACCTATTTCCAGAAGAGGGAGGAACACAGAGTTACATATAAGATTGGAGGTAGGAGTACGCAGGTAGACTACATTCTATGTAGACGAGGCAATCTGAGAGAGATTAGTGACTGCAAAGTAGTGGTAGAAGAAAGTGTAGCCAGACAGCATTGGATGGTGGTGTGTAGGATGACTCTGGTGGAGATGGGAAGGATGTGCAACAGATAAGGGTGAACAGAGATGGAAAGGTGCTAATAAGTGAGGAGAGTGTGCAGAGAAGGGGGAGAGGACAAAGAAATACAGTTTAGTACAATGATAGAACAGAGAGATGGAGAAAAAAAAAATCAAAGAATTGGCATAATTCAAGGTGGCTGGGCACAGTCAGGGGGAGTGTCAGTGCTGGGCAAATCTTTTGCCATCCTCAAAGAGAGATGGTCTGCACAATTAGCCATATGAACTTTGACCCTGCTCAGAATAATTAATGAATAACAGAGGGGATAAAGACAAAAGGCGCAGAGCAGTCTAGCTGAGTGGCGACTGAGGGTGATACATCAAAGAACACTGTTAATTGGCCCTGTGGCTTTCATTCTTTGCCCTATTTCTTTCAATTCATTGACTCAAAATAATGGGTTCAGGTTCATTATCAACAGGTCGTAAGCCCTGGGAGTGCCAAAATTCAACAGGAGAATCTGGGCTTTGTGTGTACGCTTGCCAGTGCATGTGTACAAAAATGTGTATAATGGCTTAGATTTTGCCTGTCCCCCAATGTCCTGACAGCATCAGTTCCACACAGGGGGGAAGTAAGAGTTGTACAGTTGTGTTGAGAAGGGAGCAACAATTTGACATTTTTTTATTTAAAAAAAGTTCTGTTTTTTTAGTTGTGACAAGGGTACAAGTACAATTTTTATTGCGTGTGTTTGTGAATTTCACAAGTGTCACAATGCTGGAATATAAATGGTACAGACAGGTAAGTGAAACACACACACCTACTCGTAACTGTAATTTCATTATTTTTATGTCAGATAACAGATGCATGTTTTCTCAGTGAGAATTTCCTATAGTACATGTATGGAACAACATGACTTGGCCATAAGTTGATGGGTATTGGACTTTCACTCAAAGTAAAAAACTCAACAGTATGTGTTATAAGAGTGACTATTAGAGTCTATGAACAGGCTTTTGTCTCTTTCCTGGCTTTGCCAGAGTTCACAATTTCACACATCCAGATAGTATTTTATCTTCGAAACTGCATATGACAACTATTACAGCTAGATTTATATTTTTATGCACAATTTTTATGGTAGTATACAACACGAAATAAACTCAGGTATGTAGATGCTTCTTGTGTGTTTAGTAATGTTTCCTGACCATGGTTCACCCTCAGTTCACTTTGGAGTGTATGTGGTTCATTTTTCGCAAACTTAATTTACTGATAACTCTCAAAGGGTTTCACAGCAAAAACCTCAGATCATGTGAAATTACTTCCATTCACACACACTATTCTTTCATGGTGTGTCTGGTTCTGTAAGGGGGGGGGGGATGGTTAACTCAATTGCCGTGACTGTCTGCTCATGACATAATTCTATTAGAAATATCTTACTGTTTCTTACACACTGAAATATCCTGTTGGCTGACTACAGCACAGTGTTTCTCTTTCTCCTAGTCCGTCCGAAAGGTTTCTCGTACCTGGTTGAGCCATGTCAACTGAAATAGGCCTTTTAAATAAGTCTTTGGGACTTCCCATTGTGATGAAAAGATTGTTGTCATCTCATGTTAGCTTCATACAGGTGTGTTCTCTGCCTGCACAGCTGATCATTACCATAACCAGAGATGGAGAGTACTATAGATAAAGAGATAGTGAGGGAGTAATATAAGGCAGAGACAGAAGGAGAGAGCAAAGGAGAGAAAGGGAAAAAGAGGAAGAATAAACGATCATTTATTTTGGTGGAATGTCGCAATCTTTGCACAAATCAATGTGAAGCTCAAATGTTCCAGGATGAAAGTGATCAGATGATTATTACCTCCAGAATTAGTCTTATGGTTATTTTTGGTTTACTGATGTGATTTACTATATCATGAAAACAGAGTATAGAAAAGACTGCAAGTCAACATTCTTTTTAGTTCATGCATGCATTATGTCAATGCCTGCAGTACATACTTGAGCACTGACACTGGTGGGGGAAGAGGAGAGTGAGCAGCGCCCAGTTGTAGTTGGGTTTCCCCTTTGTCATAGTAGCTCACTTGTTCAAAAAGCAGTAGCACAAAGACAGAATAGAGCAAACAAACAGCTCTTTGTCTACAGTACAAACCACATATTAGTTTGGGTAAGGTCAAAGTTGATTTGATTATCTACTTAATTCTCATTAAACTATTGCATTATTTCATTTCTCACAATCATGTTAAGGGCAGGGGGAGGAAGGAGTAATCAATACATCTCCACCAAAAGCTTTTGAACAGTGGACGATAAATTTAGCGCACAAATGCACTTTACTTTGATTAGGGAGAGTAGGAATCACTTTCTGATGCTATATTAAACTTCAAAGGATGTCCACTGAAATATTTGATTTTGATCTTCAAAGGTGTTCAGTTTCCAGAGACCTGCTGAGTCAAAAAAAAAAAAAAAAGTGTTAATTTTTTGTGACTATTAGTTAGTTTGTTTTTGCATTGAAGCTGCCTTGTGTGGCAAGGGTTAGGTTATTCTCTAGACAGCGTCAATGCCACAGAATATGGATGTTGGCTCATACCACACTAGGAGTCAGAGGGCATCTTGTGTCTGTCTTCTCGGCCTTACTCTAGTTTATTCACACCGTCTTACAGTCTGCATTTTCAATTTAAGAATCTGTATCACTTTACTGTTATCATAAACATACTTGTCTGGTTCCCAGGCAGAAAATATTTTTAAATGATCCCATCATTAAAGTTAGCTGCAAATATAGATGTTCTGATCACTTAAATCTTTTGATACAGTATAAGCAGCATATACAGCACAAAACTAAAAATGGATTGAATTAGAGTTTCAAATAAATCCAGAAAACATACAATCTGAATTGAAAGAATTCCTTGACAAAGAGTATCACAGATTTCACAGAGTATTTTGTATTTAGGCCTTTACCCAGGGTTGAAAGGCCTTTAAATTGGTGAGTTGGGACAATCGTGCACAGTTTTAATAAGACTTCGTCTTAGTTACAGTTTGATCCCCCTAGAGTTTCTTTTCACTGTCTGCCAAAGTGAGAGATTAAAGTTGTGTACAGTACAGCTTTCTGAGAGCAGGGCCAAGTGCTGGCCTATCCTGTTCTAGTTCACTGGACAGTGAGGGTCCAGGATGAGATGTTGCTTTCAGGAAACATAACCACTACATGGCATTTTACCCACAGTCCTCTGCTTTGTACACCTCAGTAACTTTGAAGCAATGGCTTGAACCTGCCTATGGGTGCTTCCATCTTTCTGTTCAGTTACTTGCATGAGATCATTCATCACTCAGATTCCAAATTTGGTGATGTTATGTATGTATGTATGTATATGTGTGTGTGTGTGTGTGTGTGTATATATATATATATATATACACACACACACATCCATTGTTTTCCTACAAAAAAATTTTAAGGTCTAAAACATGTTGAATATGTTAGACATGACACCAGCATGCACAATATAAAGAGGTCCCACTTGTTAAAAACCTGGCTCCATAGTGCTCAAACCTCCAAAGGGTACCTTTAAGTTGAAGAACTGCATGTACCTTTGTCATGTCAGCATTTTGTGTAAATGCAAGTAACAGTGTGAATGTAGTAGAGTGGAAAGTTAACTCTTAACCATATGCTGAATAGTCCAATATCAATATTTTTGTCTGGCAATATAAGGTTAACTTTATTAGCTCAGTGTTAGCTAGCAAACAATCTTGCTTGACACTGACTGCATGAGATACACTACCCGGCCACTTTAATAGTCACACCTGTACAGTTGTATGCACTTTAATGCAACACTTTTGCCCTAACATTTGTATTTATAGAACTCAAAATATAATTCAGCTTTTGGTGAAAATGTTGAATTAAATTATTGAGAGCCTAGTTAAAGGTGGTGTTGCACTAGAAAACAATATATTCAGTGTCAGGGATGGCCAGTACAGCTACCCACAATATTAATGGTGGACTTGATTATAAAGCCAGGCGAGATAGAGTAAACAGTATTGCTTTACTGTACTCACTCAGAAAATACACAGTGATAGTCCATAATCCAATAGCCAAATTATACAACAGTCCAGGGTTAATACCCACAAATGAACACAGCCAAGGGATCCAAAATGGGAGGTCAAAGAAGCCGGTCAAAGAAGCCGGTTCACAGAATCAACATACCACAATCCGGAGGGTTAGGCAGAAATCAGTGGTCAGGAAACAATCTGGGGTAAATAACATGATTCATGAAAGCAAGGATAACACTGGAATGTCTGTACGGAGTCAAGAACAATTTGGCAGGTCACTGATGGGAGAAGGCTGCTTATAATGAGGTGAAAACAGGTGCAGGCAATCAGCACTGATCACTATAAAGAGTCCATAACAGAGATAAACCCAGAACAGGAAGTGGCGGCAAAATAAAAGTCTGAAACAGGAAGCAGTAGGACAGAACCCTGACATTCAGAGGTGTCTATTTTTTGTCCTCCCCAGCTATATACATGAGGATGAAAATTAAGTAGTAACTAAAGTTATAAAATAACTATAAAAGTTATAATTACCTCAAATGTAGTGAAGATGATGTATGAAGTAGCCCAAAATGAAAATGCTCAAGTAGAGACGCTTCCAAATTGTAAATAAGTACATTACTTGAGTAAATGTACTCTTTTACTTTCTATCACTGTGAATTTAAATTTACATTTCTTTTGAGGCAGACCATAGCAAACACATGAACACACACAAACACATATGTGTATTCCAGTTAAAATGGCTATAATATTTAATTCATATAAAATCATTAAAAGTGCAGTGGTGCTGTATCCATTATGCATTCTTTTTCTAGCAGGATAAAACAGACCTCAGATGTGGGAGATGCACTTTGAAGTATTGTCTCAGAAGCAGGCCAACTCTTACAGGAAGTCCCTGATGTTTAAAAGATGGTGAGCGCTTGTGGCTTGCCCCAAGATGAGTCAAAGTGGCCAGCTAGGAATTTTATAGACTGCATACACACAACAGGCATCAGATAAACAAAAAGCAGACAAGTATACTTTTGGGTAATGATGAACTTGTGCTGCATTTCTACTATCAGAACCTAGTGAGTGGTATACCCCGTACTTCCCTTAACAATCACCAAGCATAGCCTTCGGGGCTGACATGGACCATCTTGCTTTATGTTTTCAACTGTATTTTCTCTCTGTTGGTCTCTCTTTAGAGGGAAGGGCTGCTTACACACGGTGCTTGTAATTCTAATGCTTGAGGTGTGAAGATGGGGACATTTAACCAATCACCAGTGACTCTTCTGCGCACAGGCACCCCCTCCCCTCTCGGGTTCCTGGTACCTGATTTTAATACTTCCTCCTGAGGGGTGCTGAAATTCAGCCCCCGGACTTTACTTCCAAAGTGGGCCAAGTGTAGTGGAAACAAATGCAGAACCCATGACGAGCATTACCTGGCATGACATATTTCACTAGGTTCATATGGTGTGCATGTATCTGCAGGCACATAGGGACACACACACAAACACAACTAGTATGAAGAACAGTTGAGCATATGTCACAGTGACCTTCAAATAACAACAAAACAGTTTAGGAAATGCAGTGATCTGGACTGAGACAGCAGAAGCTAAAAATTTGTTTTGTTTCAATAAAAACCCCTTTTCATATCAATTACTGTAATGAAGTCATCCACCATGCACATATGAAGGACAAGCTGCACTTTAACAGCTGAGGGGAGACACTGGCTTATTGGGCATAACAGTGTTAAACTGATTCTTTAAAAATATAATCTCAACTGGCTTGATTGAACTCTTTTTGATTTGATTTGCCTTATTACATTCACTGTCTGTAAGTTATGTTTATTAAAGTTTATCCAAAGATATAAAACACAGCAAACACAGAATTTGCATAGGGTATAAAACTGTGTTTTTCAAAACCAAGGAAATTGGACCATACTAGATTGTATTCTAATCTTAAAATGAGGGACTCATCTATATGTATGAATGCAATCAAGTAGATGGTGGCTTGCATTCTGTGTTAGCTTTGTCTGACCGTAATGCCAATACTTTTGTGGCACTGTGCAACACTGTGCAAGTAAAATAAATTGTTTGCTTTAACAGAATTTTCTCAACAATCTTGATTTTTTTTTGTGTTGAGTTTGGTAGAATTTTAAAATTTCACTCAACTTTATTTAATAAGTCCTTGGCTTTTGATTAGACTGAAGAGAATGGCATTAGCTGTTTTTATTATCTAAAGTCTGGGACTTCAGTCGATTTTGCTGCGTCCAGGAGTTTTTTGAGAGCCATTCTGGGAAGTCCTGCATTGGCCTTTGTTGTGGCCTCACAGTGACCGGGACATGATAATAAGTTTGTGTGAGCGTACATCTGTGTGTTCTAGCATATTTGCACATATTCGCAGATTACATTTTTGTGCGTTTCCCTAGTTGAAGCCATGACTGTAGTTTGATGGCTACAAAGCCTTCCAAGGGAAGTAGGTGTCATGAAGATAACCTGGGAGAATGTGCTGACCTGGGCTGGATGTTCTGCAAGCAGGAAAATGTGGTGATCCACAAGCAGGAACTCACATTCTGTCAACTTATTACATGCCTACACACACACACTCCAATCCCCTTAACTGCCATCTGTATTTCTGCCTGTGTCAGGCCTTTCCCTGACCAAAAACACACACATGTACTAACACACACACAGGAAATGGCCTGTGCGGTTCCCAAATAAGCTGATGTGTCATGCCTTCCTTTCAGATATTTCTGCAAAATCTGAGGGCAGAGGCTGCAGCACCTCTTCTTCCTCTTCTTCTCCCTGTGTCTCATTGAGAGACAGCTGTAGCCGTGATAGTAGTTCTTCTTTTGTAAGAATTTGCAGCTCCTGTGGTGGAGACGCTGCCACTCTGGGGAGCCATGAGTCGTTGTGTGGTCAAAGTGATCACCCTGACAGAGATCCAGGTTCTACAGGTAGGGGAAGAAACTTTACAATCCAGAGAAATTGGGGCAAGATGAGATAGAAAAAAAACGAATGTGTGTAACTGTGTGTGCATTTGGTTTTGTGTACATGCAAGAAAGATCATCTGTGCATTATAAAAGGCATGCAAATACAACCATAACAAATAAATAGCCATGTAATGCACATTTTGTGATCAGTTTGGTATCCCAGTCTTATCTTCCCTCACGTTTCGCAATCTATGGTGCGTGGCTATAGCTATTTTCTGGTTAGCAGGCTCAGCAAAATACAGTAACCATGCCTGAGAAGGGTTTTTGTTTCACTTTCATCTTATCTTCACAGATTTAAGATGGGGAAAAGATAATCGAGCAGCTCTACTGCATTCCGTAACTGTCAATGTGAAGTAAAATATAGCATTTTGCAGAAACGAATCCAAACCTCCTACTGGGTTTTCTCCATAATGTGTACAGCTATTTAATGTCACCATCACCCAGTGTTTCATAAACTGTTGGATTATACTGAAGTGAAAGGAGAACTTGGGAAAGATTGAAACTGGGTTAGGCAAGAGCCTATCTATCTTGTAATGCAGGTTATGGATGTGACTTTTTATTAAAGGGGATAGAGTTCTTATTGGAGCATTGCTTTAGCTGCAGGTTTCCTGCATAAATCAATCACATTATATATTATTGGTGCAAAAAACACTTGATGTAACTTCACAGGAGAGCAGAGCGGAGTATTTGTTAAAGGTGATTATCCCACTGCATTCCTGTGTGGTTAAAACCTCTGCAAGTATTTGAATTATGTAAGTCAAAGAGTCAGGAAAAGTTTTATTGAGAAAGAAAAAGAGAAGTAGGGTGCAAGTGTGTGTGGAGTGAGGGCATTGTCTGATTCTTAAATCTTAACCTTAATGATTTGGTAATGAGAATAATGAAAATAGGAAGATGCAGATCAGCTATATCTTCAAATAGGATACAGGAAGTACAAAACCAAACTGGACAAATATTATTTTTTTATTCAACTATTATAAAACACAAATAAGCAAATGTGCTAAAATAAACCGAAGGGATGTACAAAAATTTTGTTGCATGCATATTGCAAAAATCAACAAATGCAATTACTGACCAGAATAAACTGAGAGTTTTTGCCTACAAACTTTAGGTTTGCAAGTCAGAAATAAATGAAAAGTGAACTTATGACCTTGTTTCAACCACTACCCCAAACACTGCCTCAATTGTTGTAGCTGGTGTCAGTAGAAAAAGAAAACTGAAGTGTCTGAAATGTCAGAATGGTCTTAGCAATCCCAAACTTGACCCTTAATTGACTAGATTCTTATCTCATTTCTGTCCATGTGTATGGCAAGCATTGATCATTTTCAACATGTTTTTTTCACATGTGCACAGGCCTTCCATTGTCAAGGTTAGCCTTGTTGACTGAAGCAACATTACATCTCAAATATAATAAGATTCCCTTATGTGAATAACAAGCGAGTCTCCAGTATTTACAGTAGTGAGAACATTGAAGTGAAAGCAGAACAATCTGCTGTCAAAGAAGGCAGATGTGGTGTGTAGCAATGGTGGCATCCCTCCCGCTATCTAGTGGAAAATATGTTGATTAGTTAACAACTGACATCTTGTTTTGCCTGGAGAATTCAGATAAGAGCTCTTAGTCACTACTAACAAGCTGAGTATTATGATGAGCCTGTGCTTGGTTAAGTGAATGAATAAAGGCAGCTAGTCTAGCTGACAAGGGGAATTTAATGCTGAGTTTCAGTACAAAGCCTAAAGTCGCCACAGCTAAAAGTCCCTATGATTTAGCAGGGTTGTGCTAGTTGACATTTGACTTCATAAAAACTTCCCTTGTTGCTAGATGTCTGAAAACATAATGAAATGCCTACAATACAAACTACTTATTTAATCAATCCAAATTTAGTTTTGAGACGATATTGACACCTCTTAAAAATTGAAATTACAAGCAATAAAAGATAAATAAGGAATTAAGTCAGGGGTTTTGCTGCTACTGCATTATGATGTGGCATGACCAGTAGCGAATGGCAACTAGCCTTAGCTAAATTTTAAGCAAACTTTATGACTTTTTCTCAGTTGTGATTCTGTAACTGTAGCTCTGCATTTTAGCTCGAGACAGTTTGTCAGTTAGCATTAACCCATAACTTTCACTAGTAGCTGCAGTGGCCACTGTTCAGAAAAAGTTGCTTAATGTTCAGATTATCTTTGATTTTGCTTGATAAATGACACCTATTTTTGTTGGGTTAAATGCTCTGAAAGTGGCACCATGATTATGGACGCAGATATGGCTTACAAAAGATATAGTTAAGATGAAAAATACAACCTACTTTAATAATATCATCCTTCAGATAAGTAGAACAGTATAGACTAGTGAATCTGCTACACCCTCACTGTTGCTTCTTAGTATTTCTTACTGATTAGCTGCTGTTAGTCATGAAAAAAGTATCTGTATGGAAACTTTAAAAAATACAGTGGTGTATCGTGTTATGAAGCACACTTTTATTATGAAGTTTTTTCTTTTGCTTTGTTGTGTTTTTAATTCTGTGTAAAAAAACAGACTAGGTGACCTTTAACAACTGACAACTTTACCATTATAAAATTAATGCTAACAATACATGCATTATTATGAAGTATTCCCAAAATTACTTTACATGCTATAAACTAATAAAGTTAGAACATCAAGCTTCTTTGTGAGCCCCAGGCCAGTTAGTAAATTTGACATTTTTAGGTGAAAATAGCCATCAACTTACAGTAATAAAGACCTCAAAATAGTTTCCAGAATAGTTTTATTGTAGTTATTGTTTGGGAAATACTAATGTCTCTACACTGAAAACAGTGAGTGAATGAAAAGCCTTGGTTAAAAATGGCATTAGATGGGTTATTTAAAACCCCCAATGGGGAACAAGGGTCAATTGTGCTGCTACAGCCCCTGGAGCAGAGGACTTTGGAAGCTGACCTGTGATTGGTCAGCCCAACATAAATGGGCGGTCCTGGATGAATTAGTGACACTAAAGGCAAATATCCTGCAGTGATCAAACTCTGAGTGATCTGACAGTCCAGTGTTTGAAGTGATTATCAAGCTACGAAACATTCTAATTAGTTCACTTGGGGCTCTTCATAAGAATGGCAGGGGGACTGGAGAGACAGAACCTCGCTGAGAAGCCAGCATATTAACAGGATAGCAGCAGCACACCTGGATCCATAAAGCTGGCCTGCTGCTACATGAAAACAAAACAAACTGACACTTATCTGTTTTGCTGAGAATGCCACACTTAACTGACTGCAGTTACTACATGATGCGGAACACAACCAGAGCTTCAAATGTAAGAATGTCAAAATTCTAAAAATTCTGAATTGCTTTGTAAAATGTTCTGTTCGACAGTGTTAAGTTTTTTTTAATGTAATGTATTTGTAAGGCTTTTGTTACTGGTTTGGCAATCTGGACAGCTGGCTATGCTGGCTATATGTAAATACTATTTAATATATTATAGAAGTAATCAAAGATTAAGTATTATGTTTGGCAAATTCAGTTTGATTCTGGTGAGGAGGCTTTTGCTATTCACTACATTTTTCAGTCAGAAACTGATAGTTACAGAATATGACCTTAAGAATGAGTCCTAGTTCTCATAAAAAAGTTGGCAGACATTACATACGCTAATGTGAACGTTAACTTACAGTCTACAGAATATAGTGCTGCTGTAATTCTGTAAATTTGCTCTGCATGACTGAATAATAATGGGAAAATTGTGGCTATTTTGCAGCTATTTCTGTGTGTTGAATGAGATTATCTTTTCGGCCACTGACAGTAGTCTGCAAAAAATGCAGTCTAACTCTTGCTGAACTGATTTTCTATTTAGTCAGCTTATTGAATATATGTATGATTTATATTTTCTGCAGGTACAGAGCCATCTGGAGAACTCCAAGTTCCACTTCCACCAGACCCAGAATCAGCAAGGCAAGCAGTACTTGACATTGGGCTCCAAGCTGGCCTCTTCGGCTGGGCAGGGTCATGCAATGCCACATCCACACATCCCTGGCCAGCCGCTGGCCACTGTGCCAATGATAAGGAATGGGCACATGCCCCCTGTCAGCGATAGCAGCAACCCCAACAGCCCTGTTACCCTGCATACCATGGCCAATCATGACAGTGAGGTGAGAAAACTTAGAGAAAAAGAAACAGTATGAATGTGACTTATGGTGTTACCAAATTTATAGAAGTGAAACTGAAAAAACTCAAAACGTGCCTGACGGTGGCTGTAAAAGAATGAAATTGGAACAACAAATTTGAACCACAGACTGGGCCACCTACAGACAAGCTATAGGTCATACTTTTTGCATATTTCACAACATTCTTGACACGTTTTCCTGCCAACAATGTACATTCCTGTCAAATACTTTGTTCAGTTACTTTCTCATAGCATTTTATAAAATATCTGCTATTTACATTCTATCAAATTAAGAGAGATAAATCATGGCTGACACTTTGTCATAGACAGTCAACATGCAGAATAAATCCCACTCATTGACTATAACTAAATTTCTAAATGATTCAGTTAGAAAAATCTCAGCAATGAAGGGAGTTAGTTCCAACTAATCACCTAAACAAAGTGGTCACTACTAATCTCCCTCTCTCCCTGATGTGCTCAGCAGTAACTTCAGACGTCAATCTCCGATGAGGAAACTAGTTTGCTAACAGATTTTCTTGCCAACTAACTAATTTGAGAACATGGCAGCACAGAACTAGTCTATTTTGGTTTGAATGTTGAACTTTCAAAATATTAGACTTGGCCAGTATTCTAATGCAAATATAAACACTTTGTCCACTGAGTATATTGAAATGACTGTTCTCTTTTAGTTTCCAATGGATGAAGTTATTGATGGCCTAATTAGCCTTGAATCCGGTTTCGATGATGGAAGCTTGGATTGCATGGAGCCTAACATAATGCAAAACAATGTAAGTATGCATCACTATTGTTCAAACAGCTACACAATAACAGTGTTTAAAAATGCTATCTATGGTGTGAAGGTCTTTTGTATTGATTTCTGTAACGTATCCATTGCTTGTTAACCTGTTCACATTACTGCAGTCAGGTATATATCATGTTAAATTTCTTTATTAATAACTTTTCTCTTTTTAAGTTCAAATGGGTTAACATTTAAGTGCAAGCTTGAGCAATCTGGGAAAATTAGGACCTGTCTTAGTTTGAGGTCAGCTTAAGGGCCGGCATGAGTCAAAGTTCACTGGGGCTTAACAACATTTCTCACACTACTCAAGATGTTTAACAATGAAGAGTACATTAATAAGAAGGGCGATGTGCACAGAGGTATATCATTATAGTAAAAGCTAAATTTAATGTAATTGTCTAACTTGCCCATCCTATCAGTGTGATTCACAGCCATGATGGGATTCAAATCTTTCTGGGACAAGGGGTCCAACTGGCCACTGAACAAAGCAACACCTGATAATACAGCTAGAATTTGTGGGATGCTAACTCCTGCAAATCTGTCCTAAGACAGAGACTAGGTGGCAGACAAAGAATAATACACACAAAGTGAACTGGAGCATGAACCACATCTGTCACACATACTGTGGTGGAAAGGAATGAGAATGGGCAGAAAAAGATAAAGCATGGGGGAAGGGGGAGGGGGGAAGGAAGTTTCAAATGAGAACAGAAGCATGACAGAAGAGAGAGGAGTGAGAGATTTTGTTGGAGAGCCATTGGGTTGGCCCAATGCATACACTCCCTGTGGGCTTGTTCAGAAATGATATTGTGCTTAAATGGATCAATTCATCCTAATTAGTCATGCAGTACGATGCATCACACCATTTCACCATGTCAACACATCCAGGAACACAGACAGGACAGGGACTGAAGTGATTACAATAGGAGTAGTAGGGGAATTGTTGCAATCTTTCATTCTGATAAGCCCTTTTGTTCCCTCCTCCTCCTTATCCTCCTCCTCTTTTATCTCATCTTGGTGAGATAATGTGGAAAAAAAATGCACAAGCAAACCAAACCAACTGTAGATATTTGAAATGTCTGGTTTCTTCTGTTTAGTTTCCTCATCTTCAAATTTTCTGTCTTGCTTTCCATTTCCCATCTCATGACCTGACATGAAGCCTCGTGACATTCACCAATCTATCTGTTAGATTTGACACACATGTCGCGGATCAGCATAACATCTTGGAACCCATGCTGTCTCCCGTAGCATTTTCCCATAAATACACAAATGTGAATTAGACACATGTCAGTGTGCTATATCTTGACATCTCGCCCATCTGTGAAAGGGCATCATTATTGCAAAAGTGATGCATACTTTCCCAGAGACCCGTAGGGAAAACAGTTTTGCCTCTATTCATGCAGTTGACCTAGTAAGCCTTTTCATCTGTTGATGCTATTTTCAACACAGAGCACATCTTTGTGTTAGGAGCAATTTCAGCTGGTGGGGTTTTGAAAATGGTGGCATTGGCAGATCAAGGCATTATGTCTGCTCAAACCAAACCTCAGAGTGCAGCAAGCCTGGGTTGGAGGTCAGGGTCATATGGAGTACGACCGGAGGGTGAGAACCTACCGACCTCGTTAAGTTGTTTTTACTCTTTGCAATACAAGACGACCAGGCAATATGGGTTTGGCAGCAGTTCTACAGTGCTAGGTTTGCCCTCTCCAGCAGTGGCAGACATGTGGGTACTACGTCCCTCTGAGAGGTCCAAACTTACAGGCCCCAGGGCTGCCAACCTTCTCTGCAAGGCTCTAAACACTCCACTTGCTTCTTGTAATTTTTGTCAGAGCTAAACAAAGACACACAGCAGCTAAAAAAACTATTTGTATTGTGGCTTGTATTGTAGTGTGAAAGGCTTCCATGTTTATGTGCTTGTAAAATGTAAAAGTGCTTGCCCCATGACCAACCTTCTCTCTCTCTCTCTCTCTCTCCCCTCTCTCCTTCCTAGGTGTCCCTCAGTAGCAGCATGCTGGACGTGTATGGGGGTGAACAAGGTAATAACGCCCCTAATGGTCGAATGAGTCCCACATCTAACCACACAAAGCTCACAGTAAAAAGGGAATACACAGGTATGAACTCATACCATAGCACTGATCAAACAACTAACCAATTAACGCGTTGTGACATGTGCACATTGGTGTATAAGTTAAAAACCACACAAAGGTATTTTGTTAGAAGAAGGCATTTGGGGGAATTATATAGAAAAAAAAAAACAGTTCTAAGCACTGACATTTTAGGTAGAAGAGCAGAGTGTATCCGAGGTAGCTATGGGGTGGCTGTGGCTCAGGAGGTAGGGTCATCTCCTAACGCATTCCTGGCTTTTCCAGTGATATCACTGGCGTATGAATGATTGAGTGCATGGGAGTGCAAATGTGTGAATGGGCAAATAGTGTGAAAGCATTTTGAGTGTGCTGCAATGCACAGAAAATCGCTATACAAGTATAAGATGATTTACCATCTATCAATAGCAACAGGTTGTTCGTGCCTGTTTCTGCTAAAATTGAGTCAAATTGCAGGTGTCAGGCAAACAGACAAGATGTGTAAGTTGACTTGTGTTCCGTGTTTGACACACACTGTCCTGCTTGTCACCGGTTCCGTTAATATGCCATACAGTAAAAACAGGTAGAAAAGAGCACAGAAGGATTTTTAAGACATTGATTATTAATGCCACGCATCAAGCAAAAAAACCAGATTAATTTAGGAAAGAGAAAGGATGCCTAAAGAACCCTTCACTCTAAGTAAATTGCAGTCTGTTTCACTGGAGTGTGGGCAGGGATGACAATGGGCTGTTATACAGACTTTAAACTGTTTTGATTGAATCAACAGAGACAAATTGGGAAATCTAATCTTAGGTTTCCAATTATGCAATTTGGAATAATGTGAATAGAAATACGGGTGCACTGGCATTTTTGTCCCTTTCCAGGATGGACAAGTGGTCACCATTTCTTCCACAATGAGCTTTAGACATGCTGAGGGGGTTAAACTCGGTGTGTGTATGTGCAAGGATGTCAAACTTGTGTCTGCTGTACACTGGTGCACGGATACTCCACATTCTGGCTGACCCTAGCACTGAACTTCCACAAAGCAACTGACTGTGTGTCTCCTGAATAGAATTTTTTATGGTGGTTTGTGCTAGTTGTCTCTCAGTTTCTAAATTAGTGTGCGCGGCTAATCAGTTTGTTCCCCTCTGTGATTTAATTTTTTTCTTTTTGACAGAACATGACACAAGGATGATGGCTAAAGAGAGACAAAAGAAAGACAACCATAATTTGAGTAAGTGTCTCCCTCTGCCTTTCAGCTTCCTCACAGTTTATCATGTGAAAATGAGCTGTGGCTAGCCTTGAGCACAGCAGCTAACAGTGTTCTAATCTCTGGCTCTTTTTGTTCTGTTTGCTTAGTTGAAAGAAGGCGAAGATACAACATCAACTACAGGATTAAGGAGCTGGGGACACTTATACCAAAGTCAAATGATCCGTAAGTTGCAAAATACTTAAATGTATTTACTGCAACAATGCCCTGGTTCGCTTCACTTTGTCACAGAAACTGCAAGAACTTGCCTGGCAAGGAGGTGTATTAAATTCTAAGCACAAAGACACTCTGAACATTGTTCACTGAATTCAAATGAGTGCTCAAGCATATTTCAGTCATATTTCAAGGGTGCACTTGAACTTACATTGCAGTCTACGCTCCAAGAGATGTACATCCTCTTACTGGGTCCCGGCAGTTCAGCTTAAAGCTTGAGTGATGAGCAAAGGGTCAAATGCAAAGCAGGAGGCCACACTATTTGAATCAAAGTTTGAAGCACAATTGGAACATAGAGATGGCGTGTCGAGCTGAACTGAAATCCACTGGCCATCTTTTACAGTTGAACTTTGCTTCAAATTTAAAGGGAAGGTTAGCGTTGTCATTGTACCATTAACATAGGATAAAAGAGAATATTAGCGCTGATCAGACCAATGTCTCATTCATGTGGAAAAGGCCAATTTTACTACAGCTCTCCTTTCCTTTTTTTAAAAAAAGCAATAATATCTGCAAAAGAATGACTTGCACTCTAGCGTCTTAAGTCCAATGCTCCTTTTTTCCCCCTGTCTTGCTACTTAGCTCATTTACCCTCACCTATTTTTACTCGAGGATTAATTTTACTGAACAAGGAGGTACAAAAATGGACTCGGCCCATAGCTGCTTAACTATTCTATTAAAATTCCCATTCAGTGTGTCTATGTAATGTCCAAGGGTGAATAATTGCTCCATGTAAATCACCATTTCTTTTTCATATCATAAAAGGGGGGGAAAGAATCTGTGCTGAAACTTTTCTCCCAGTTTTTTTTTTTCTCACTATGGAGGATATTCTGCCGACATCAGGGGGTTCTGTGTAAAAGGTTATCTTTTACATTTCTCCTTTCTGCAGCGACATGCGCTGGAACAAAGGCACCATCCTGAAGGCCTCAGTGGAGTACATAAGGTGGCTGCAGAAGGAGCAGCAGCACGCTCGGGAGCTAGAGAGTCGACAGAAAAAGCTAGAGCAAGCGAACAGGAGGCTGCAGCTGAGGATTCAGGTAATAAAATGTAACTGACTGCATATGTATAGTGTGTTTTGTGGTTTTGGTATACACAGTAATAAAACTTGACTGACAAAATACATCACAATAATACTGAGAAAAAGAATGATGTCTGGTAACATCAGAGCACTCACTCTGTCAACTCCACCCGACTCCATCATCCAAACGTACTTTGTTCTTCTACTAATTTCCACCTTCGAATATTTACAATCCCTACACTAATGTTTACATGATGTCTTTCCACCCCTTGCACTCAACCCTCTCTCTGATCCAATCTCAGAGAATACAGTGCAAATTACCTGATGAATTTAGCATTCACTGTAGCATGATGGCAGCTCTTACAGTGGAAATAAACACAGATTAGAAATACAGTCATGGCTAAAAATATTGGCACGCCTGCATTTCTGTCAGATAACGCACCGTTTCTACCAGAAAACTGTTACAGTCACAAATTCTTTGGTATTCTCATGTTTATTTCTTTTGTTTGCCTTCAAACACAACAAGCCGAGAAAAAAGTTCCACACAGAACTCCAAGAATGGACTGGACACAATTACTGACACAATCAATTTAATATTTGGTTGCATACAGGACACAAAATAGCTGAAATCAGCTTCCTGTAACCGTCAGTGAGTTTCCTACACCTTCTCTACTGGAATTTTGGACCACTCTTCTTTTGCCAACTGCTCCAGGTCTCTCAGATTTGAAGGGTTCCTTCTCCCAGCTGCTGTTTTGAGATCTCTCCACAGGTGATCTATGGGATTTAGATCTGGACTCATTGCTGTCCACTTCAGAACTCTCCAGCACCTTGTCTGAAACCATTGTCCTGCAGTAAGACACATAACCTCTGACTGTTTTCTGAAAACAGCAGAATGATGTGCTCTACCAAAAAGCTCTATTTTAGTTTCATCTGTCCACAGGACATTCTCCCAGAAGGACTGTGGCTTGCTCAGAAAAGTTTTGGCAAACTGCAGTCTGGCTTTTTTATGTTTCTGTGTCAGCAGAGGGGTCCCCCTGCGTCTCCTACCGTAGCGTCCGCTGTCATTCAGATGGCAATGGATAGTGCAAGCTGATACAGTTGCACCCTGTGCCTGCAGGTCAGCTTGAATTAGTTTGGAAGTTGATCAAGGTTCTTTATCCACTATTTGAACAATCCATTGTTGGGCTGTAAACTTCTTGACAATGTTGCACACAGTGGACACAGAAACAACAATATTTCTGGAGATGGACTTGGAGTCTTGAGATTGTCCATGCTTTTCCACTATTGTGGTTCTCAAATCCTCAAACAATTCATTGCTCTTCTTTTCTCTGTGCTCAGTGTGGTCCACATGACACAAGGGTTGAGTCAACTTTTCTCCATTTTAACTGGGTGCAAGTGTGATTTCTATATTGCCAGAACCTGTTGGTCGCTACAGGCATGTTTCATTACAAAATAAAGGAGCATCACATGCTTGAAATGCAACTATTTCTAATGATTTTGAAAATGTGTCAAAAATTCTGTCCAGTCCATTTTTTGGAGATCTGTGTGGAATGTATCAGATTTAGGTTTTCTTCTCTGCTTTTGTGTTCTTCCAGTGCAAACAAAAGATATAAACATGAGAATACCAAAGAATTTGTGATTGCAACAATTTTTTGGGAATGCAGGGGTGCCAATATTTGTGGACATGACTGTAGATGATGCCTGTTAACATAAATTTTTTTTAATGATATATGCGTACACAAAGCACAGCACATGCACTTGCACACTTTAACACGCACACACACACACACACACACACACACACACACACACACACACCGATTGTGGTTTATCTCTGTTTACTTCAATGATGGGAAGAACACAAAAATCTGTAATCATCTTCATAACTGACAAAACAATCCTGGAAACCTTCACCGCCATTGATGATAAAGGAACAGTCAGCAAAGGTTAAGATGTGATCACAGTGATGGGTGCTTAGTGCTGACCAAATACACTGTGATAAGAAGCTGTGTGTGGGAGAAGAGTATGTTTCAACACCCAAACCCAACATAACGTCAAAATGTGGAGGAGATGTGAAAAAGGTGTGGTGGTGATTCAAAAAAACTATGAGGAGTTTGCTATTGCTATGGCAAATGTGCTTACAATTTAGGACATTAGGACACTAACATGCAATGAGTAAGTAGGTGATTTTCTCAACAATACTTTAGAGATTGATACCATATTTAACTCAAGATATCATTTAATTTCCTTTCCAGGAACTTGAGATCCAGGCACAAGCACATGGCCTCCCAAACATGGCTACAACCCTGGGAGCAATTGAATTATCCTCCCACCTCCTTAAACAACAACAGCAACAGCAGCAACACTCGTCTACACAAGCCCAACAGCCCCCGCAGCTGCCTGTCTATCATGAGGACCTCAACAGTGACTACCTTCAGAGGATACCTGGGGTGGCTGATGTGCCATCCATCCCTGCTGCTGACAGGCCACAGGATTGCATCACCAGTGCAGACAGCTGCACCACGTTCTCCGACCCACTGTCCCACTTCACAGACTTCTTCAGTGTTACGCTCAAGGAGGAGCACCGGCTGGATGAGATCCTGATGGATAACCCACTCTCGCCCTTTGGCACTGACCCACTCTTGTCTGCGCCGCAGGAGCAGCTTCAGTTCTGCAGAGGCTGAAGACCTATAATGGGGGCCCGCTTCCAAAACTAACTTTTGTTGTCTTCTCATGACAACACATTTGTAAAAGGCATACACAGACTGGCTCATGGCTCCATGCTTACGGTAATGACAACACACAAGGTTGCAAGTAATTTAAATGACAGCACCTGACAGTTCCCCTCTAAGTGTGTAGTTCTTGTTGATGGGGTGGGTGTTAATGCTTGACTAGCCCCAAAGCTTGCTCCCTCTAAAGCTGAGTGGAAGCAGAAACATCCCATGGACCTCCTGCTCCACCACCTGCTCTTTCTAACTGTAATATAGACCACCAAACTGTTTATCTGCCTCCCAGGCAGAGCAGAAACAGATTAACAAGAAAAAGGGAGGCACTTATTAGCCTTTATGTACATAATGCAACTGACTGCGCCTACTGTTGTTGTGACAAACACCGTGGTAGCTGTACACTGTAACATGCAAAATAATCACTGAAAACCAGTCAAAACTGTCATTTAAAAAAAGAGAATACTATGACTCCAAAAACGTTAGTCGAGATTGTGAATGCGTGGTGTGCTTTATTTGAACTGCCAGTTGTGTCTTAAGAAAGATATGAACAATAACAGATGTACTCACCACAATGCCTAACATGTTCCTTTCTTAAATGCGTGTTTATGTATTTATAAATGTTTTAATCCCTCTTTTCATAAAAAGGATATATATTATTACCTAATATGTTACTTTTTTATTCTTATTAGGGGTGGGAGGATATAATAAACCCTTTTTCAATATACTGATTTTTGACTTCTTGTTTTTACCTCACAGGTGCCACCACTTATTCGAGGACTGCAACCATACATTTGCAGAATAGACAAGACTAACTTTACAGCATAACAGGTTCTAAATGCTACAAAACATCCTTAAAAATCACAAAATAATATATTTCTAAAATGATAGACACTGAAGTATGGTGCATTATACTGGCACTGTCAAAATACTGCAAAACACCTGATGTAGCTAATATTATTGATAAAGTACCAGAATTAATCATCACTTTCTTCATCCTTTGAGCACAAATCAGCAACATGTCATAACAAAAAACCTTCACATCTGCTGTAAATAACTCTGCACTGTTCTAAGTCTATATAAAGTTCCACACCTCAGGTGCATGATGGTATGAATATGATACAAAGCGCCCAGTGGTGGACTGAGCTCAAAATGATCTCGCTAGATGATAACAGCGCTAAAATGATTGAACAAAATTTGAAAACTTTCACAGTGGAAAGGTTTTGATTGGCAATGAGTGGCAGAAAGGAAGAGAGAGGAGGGAAATTGGATAATAAAGACAAGTAGAGGAGGAGTAATAATTCTGATGAGTCTACTGTGAGCTGATGAGCTCTTGAGGATGAATAATGGCAAGGAAAAAGGAGATGCTATGAGAGCTGTTAGTTGAGCGCTAAGAAAGTTTCCCTTGAGATAAACAGGATGAGGAGATATACTTTTTCATACTGCTGGAATATAATCATAAACAGTTAGCTGAAGAAAGTTTGTTTACTGATAAAACCTTGATCTCATTATGATCACAAATTTTGAAACCCTGTTTTGCCTAGTTGCATCACTCAAAAATCATTCAGCAACATTTTCTAATCTTGAAGTCATGCATTAACAATAACAAACAGACTAATAAAAAATTGCCAATACTTCCCAAATAGATTTCTTATTAAAGCCTCAATGAATTCATGTTTAAGAGAGTTACTAGTGTGTGTTTCTCTGTAATGAAATTGAACCATCCCTCACTTGTATCTCCTTTTTAGAAGCAAATAAGACTGAACCAATCAATCAATCATTATGTACTATGGCCACTCCAACTACAAAGTGGTGAGTGATGTTTATGGGCAATTGGCAAAAGCAGTTATGGAAGGTAAACAGAGATTTCTATTATGAAAAAAGAAGAAAAAACCTCAGCATTACATTTCAAAAGGCTCGATTTACATTTTGATTTTCAAGGATTTGTTTTCTCCTTTCTCATCTTACCAAATTTAAGAAAAATACACACAGTCAATTAGTGCAGCACAAGAACTGATGAGAGTAAAAGTTAGGGACGGAAAAACACAAAGTTTGAACTAAATTAGATTATTGACAGAATATAAAAAAGTAAAAAAATAATTAGACACACATACACATTCCACTCTATTGGCTTCCCCAACAGACAAAGCATTCAGCCCTGAAAAGGAAATTCAGATTAAACTTAATACATTTCTCACCATATCAAAGGCTATAATGGACAAAGTTCAAGGCCAGTTATGCACATGCTTCAAAAGGAAATGTGATCAGATGAGGCAACTATGACATCAGAACAAGAGCCTTTTTTTTTTGGAACATCACAGTTCATCAGCCGATGATTTGGAAACTCACAGGATCAGACGTGAAACGGTGGACTGAGAAAACAGCATGGGTATCTGATACCACTGTTATGGTAGAGACATTAGCTGCATATGTTAAGAGGAGAACATAAATTTGACCATGTAAAACAAATTCACGAAATTGTGCAATCTTACAACTTACATCTCTCACTTCTCCAGCTCTTCGCCTAATCTCCCTCACTGGCTTTTAGCCAGCTGCAGTATCGGCAAAAAGTTGTACACCCTGTAAAATGTTTCCATTTCTTTTTGTGTTACTACTGCATGCACAGCAAAATGGTCTCTCTCAATGAATTACTCCACTCTCACGCTGAAATAATTGCTGCTCTATCATTTTTCCAACAGCAGATGGCAGCAGTGGGCTATGTTTTGTCCTCCCACTGAGCACTGTGTTGATAAAAAGAAATCCAACCAGGAGTGTGGCACAACAAAGAAGATTTGTTGTTGATTACTTTAAAAAGCCTATAAAGTTTAATATTTTAGCATATAACAATAGCTGGTGAACTACGCATTCCCATATAGATTTGTGCCCTGGCAGTATATGCTAAAGTCCATGGTACTCGCTATACTTCCCAGTATAAACTGACAAATCTAAAGAAGGCAAGTGATGTCGTGAACCTCACAGCGGAGTCATTCTGTCACCAAAACAACGTTGTCAGACCTCCAACCACCCACCAACACTGACACCACCACTGAGCAGGAGAAGCTGTCACCTGTGCACATGCCACAGCTGCCAGCGTGCTACAGTGCACTCACCTGTCGCGCCTGCCACTGGCAACTCT